TATTATTACTAATTTATAAAAAACACGAATTTCACGAATCCAACTGACCTGAGCCATCCAACTACCGATATCCAATGTCTCATGCTACTCCAAGGATGTATCCATCACATCTATATCTACATATATATTTATTCTATATCTATACCTAATATTAAAGGAAGGAAGAATTCTTAGTTCTCCACCCATTACCTGTTTATATCCGTTAATTTTATGTTAGCCAGAAAGATTCACAGTTGAGATTTTAAAGGAGGAAGGTTTCTCTATATGCCTGGTCGTCCATTGTGACCTCAGTTGGGCGTGTGTTCCTCTACTTGGGCCTTTTGTCTGTGTCTAGCCGCCGTTCGTAGGCTTGCACGATAGTGTTTTTCTGCACGGTAGGTTTTTGGAAAAACGAAAATAATCAGCCCGGATCACCGGAAAAGAAATGCCCATGCAGCCTTTGATCCTGTCCTTCCTCACTAGGATCGCAAGCAAGCGACTGTGGTTCCCAACATGGACTCTTTACTGGTTCCACAAGCCAAAGGCGCCTATAGAAAGGACTCGGGGTCCCCCATGGAAACCCCAAATAAGATCGGATTGCGGCACTGCTACGATAGATTGCCGGTCTATAGTCCTCCTCACAGGACATGCTGCATTCGGTGCGCTATCACCTGTCGGGTTTGATGGCGTAGGCTAGGGTGCTGCGCTTCTGCAGATCATCGTTCGAGTTGTGCATCCGATTCGCTGCCTCCCGTTGACATCCATGGCTTTGTGATCTTCCATGTTCTCTCCTGGAGCATGTCGTGGGTCTACGCTGCTATCTACCGGCTGCTCATACAAGAGCGCTGGACAAGCTGAGATTCTCATGGAGACAATCACATCAGCTCAGCCACGGAAAATGTTTCTCCTCTCTGTTTCTTTGCAAGCCTCATCCAACGTTCCTAACTAGGACCGCGTTTGCTCTCGCTGGTAGTGTGGGGCGCTCTCGCTGGCTTCGCGTGTGTTGGAATTGACACACTGGTCGCTGCGAGCTCTAGGTCATGACGCGCTGTACATGCTGGGCGGGATCAACAAGGAGCCAGACCACCCCATCCATGGCAGCGCCAGGGCCGACGTGCGGCTTCATGCACGCGTTGAAATTTGATCTTGGCAGATTACTTCTAGAGAGTTGTGATCCTGGAGGCTAGGAGGGGCGACCGGCGGAGTGGACAGGATGAGCATGGAGCGACCAGCAGCGACAACTACTGTGCTTGGGCAGATAGACCCCGCTGCGGCGGAGTTAGAGGTAAGTACCCTTGCTGGATTCATCTTCGTGACACATGCATGCGTCGATAGATTGGGTCGATCTGACTCTCTCCGTGCCATGATAATTAAATCATTGACGTTACATTGTTCTGCTGTGATTTGCATGGCTACAGGATGGAATAGATACGAATAGGAGAATAGGTAGCTGTGGTGACTCAACAAGATCGAGGCATGGGACAATGGATGACCACAATCAACTCTGACAAACTCCTCCAGTGAGGCATCGGTTGCATCTGTGCCCAAACCTTCCAATCTCGCTGTTCCGCGGAGTTTCTGAAACATGGTACGTACGTGCTCCATCCAAGGCCCTCTATCGTCCAGTTCTATCCATCAGTTTTGCAATTTAAACTAATAATGACTTCGTGGTGCAAGGAAGATATAATTTTGATATGAATGATGCAAACATATAAGATTGATCGCAAAGGAAAAAAGGTATAAAATATGCACCTTGGTGTGCATGTGGAAATAATCCTTTTTACTGTCTTTGCATTAAGGACAGGGGAACTATCCATTATAATGATGGATGGCTATCATGGAAAGGAACAGTAAGCAAAAATCACCAAAATTGTTACGCAGGAATAGAGCCAGTCTTCATCTTAAAAGAGCCAATTGCCTCACCTTTTTTTGTACTATCACCTACCTATATCTATATGTTTAGTCCAACTTCTGCAAACAGAGAGCACATTCATCATGCTTCATGGGCGAAACTCTTTTTTAGGATGGTTTTTTCTCCAGTGTAGCTGCATAGCTAGCCCTGGCCTAATTCAATACTAGTTATTTAGTTTTTTTTACAATGTGGTTCATATGACTCATGTTGAAATTCTGGTAGTGTAGGTCAAATTTGCCTCATAATTCATTTGTTTTCACAAGCTTTTCAACTTCTGCATACCATGGGAATACTGGGGATAATAGTTTTTTAATTATCAGTTTGGTTCTTC